AACTGTTAATTCTCATAGGAATTACTATTTGGTATCAGCTAACATTTTTATTTACCAAATAGTTTTTCATAATTTGAGCCAATCGAAGTTTCATGATAAGAATGTGGATTATAAATCAATGTTTTCGAGTTTGAAATTCATCTCGACCAGCTTGATATCAAGCTGTAGCGATATTAGATTATAAACATAAATGTAAAGTGAAAGATACCCTTTGAGAATATTGTGTCAAAAATAATAAAAACGTCTAAAATAAAATACTACTAAAATATGTCAGAACTAGAAAGGATTCTCAACGTTCCTGCTATAAAAAGTCTTAAAAAATATTGGCAAATGAACCTGTTTCAGCCGGCTGAGGAATTAGAAAATCACTAACTTGTGTGACCTCTCTACATTTTTTAAAAATAATGTTAGCTTTAATTTAATCTTTTTATAATAATTTATGAAATTGTATTATTTTGATTGGTATTTATAATATCAATAAAGAATTATTTACATAATTGTGAAACACGACTAAATTTAATACGAATTAAGCTAATTTTTCCTCTTAATTTATGACCCTAACATGCAATTCAAATTTTTAAAATTAAATTCATGTTCTGTGTTTTGATAAAACATAATATATTCTAAAAGAATTGTTTAAGCTTCCTTCCTAAAAATACATAAAATAATGCAATTTCCCAAAAACATGAATTTAGACATGATTTTGAGAATATGTTGCACTAATTACTTTCGATTTTAGTAACCTTGATCAAACGATTAACCTCATGTGACATTACTTGTTAAGTGAGGAAATATTGATATTATATTTCCCAAATAGGAAAACTTGATGCCACTCGTTAATACATACCTACCTTTACATATCTGGTTCCACACTTTGAACATTTATGATGTTCATAATTTCATATATGTTGGAAAAACGCCCTCATAGGTTAATGTTTATACATACGTTTATGGATGATCGATAGTACCTACCTCATGTTTTAATGTTTGACCACGCTTAAGAACACATTATTTTATATTCAACCTGGGGGTTGAAAATGTTTATGACAACCACGAGGGTGATTCTAATCGTAGGGTAATTCATACATGCAAAGTAAATCAGAAAAAGAATGAATATAACAATACATATGATAAAAGATATTGATGGATCGAGGTACCTCTGATCATACTTGCCACAAGAACACAATTTTTTTAAAAAAAGAGTAATATTTTATTTATTTTATATAATATTAATTATAATAATGAAGTAATTTTATAGAAATGATAAACCAAACATTTTATTATTATTATTATTATTATATATGTTTATACTTGTCCTTAAATGGACAATAAGTAAAAGTGTATATAAAGATTTGATCATTGTCACAGATTTCAATGTAACATGATTTTTTTTATAATCTTACCCTGGTAGTGTTATGGCGTAGTTCGCTGGCAAGTGGGTTTGCATGATCCTCGAGACGGCTTTTGTAATTGTCTGAATCAGTTATCCAATTCAGTACACTCTTTGGGGCACTCAAAATTTCTTAAGTAATTTATTTTGGCATCTTTCATTTTTTATCACGTTGAATTCGGAAGTTGATCTCTATAAATGTATAGTGTGTTCAAATTGGCTTAATAATAGCTTGCATCAAACAAATTGTGCCAAATATCATTCGAATAGGGTGTTGCTTTTGGAAAAAATGAAACTGAAACTTTATAGAAAATTACTAAAATTATTGACTATTTTTTAAATAACATCATTTCTGATCTAAACATGGATTGACGTATTTTATTTGATTCAAAATTATGTTTTATACATTTATCTGTATTTTTGCTAGATTAACATCTATTGTGCAAAATTTGCGAAGTATTTAGCTACATCACGGTTGCCAAACAAGGTAATTTCTTGTCCAATACAATTTTTTTTAAATAATTTTTAAATAAAATTAAATTGCGATGTCGAAATTTTTTGCAAGGTGAAAACTGGAATGGTCATTTGTATGCATGGGACATTGATCTTCCAACGGAAACGTAATTATGATGTATAGAAATTATTATTTCATATATAAATGTATTATATATTATATATGTATAGTATATATATGTATATATATATATATTATACATACATATATTTGTTAACTTAAAAATAATTATTTCAAATAAAATAACTTCAACCCTTTCCATTCGCAAACTGCGAGATTCGTATGTATTTTGCCGCCGTTTTTAACAAACTTTTCTGAAGAAAGTTGAGGAACTTCCAAATTACGTAAAATTTGATAAAGCTTTAGCATACTACATTTGCCATGAATTCAAATTCAACTACATGTATGTACTCATGGTTGATATTTTAATAGCAAATCAAGGGCTTTCATTGCCTTGGACAATGGGTGATGACTTTGGGATAAAAAAGCCCAAAAATACTTTTCAATATTCATAGTTTTCTCTACTTCCAACAAGTTGGTCTAAAAATTTTTACACACACATCTACTCGTATTTAACAAAAAATAAATACCATAAACTTTCTTACCACGTTTTCGCAATTATAAGAACTAGGAGCAATCGTAAATGTAACTTTTTATTTCGTTCATGCTTGGGTCGTCCTCGTGTTTCATATAGAAACTAATTATTGTCGCCATTTTCGAACAACAACGAAGACAATGCGGCGTATAAAAAATAGAAAAATTACGTTACAATACCGGAAACTTGCCGTGAAAATTCACTAGAGCGAAAACTAAAATTCACGTACGATGTACGAGTATGTGTAATTGCACCTAGGCACATGGGTATATGAAAGCGATCGAGATTTATATCAAAAAATTTCGCAATGATTAAAATATAGTCTTTGCAAATTTTCATTTATTTTAAGCTCTGCGAATATATGTAGTTCACCACGAAATCTTCTTTAATTGTGACAAAATTTAATTGATTGCTTCCTTGCTTACCTCGGTGTATAAGTTATCCAAATTCTTTGTACCTGCGCACCTTTCCATTTTTTTAAAAACAGATAAATGCATTGTGAATAAATTAAAAAAATGTGCAAAGAATAAACTAAGAACTAGTGGGGTGCATGGCATCGTGCCTTAAGGCAAACTGCTGGAACCTCCCGTAAAGTAATTAAAGATCTTGGTATGAAACCCAAAAAAATTACACAAAATATGTACACATTATTAAGCTCTCTATAAAATATCTGATAATTTGATGTACAAATGTCCAATAAACATTTTTGACCGCCAAATGACATTTTTTAACTTAATTTTATTGAGAGTCCATAACCGCTGGACCTGCCTTCTTCATCTTGTCAATACAAGTAAATTGTTTTTTGAATTATTGAGATCGGACGCTCCGTTCTCTTAAAAACTAAGTTACCGTTTTTGGCATTTTTTGCCCCGTATCTTCGGAACGGCTAGAACTACCTTCGCCAAAAACTAATCAGCACGTCTCTTTATCAATAAAAATCGAATGTTTTATGATTTATTCAAATTGGTTGATCGGTGTTTCCGAAATCGTCGACGAAAATTTGTATCCGCACACACACACACATACATCCATTTTGTCTAAGGTATGCCAAAATGTTCAGAAGCCTTCAAAACGTGGAGAAATGCAAAAATTTTCATTTTCAATTTTCGGCCCATTACTATAACTACTCTACGGAAAGTTGATAAATAAATTAAGAAAAATTAGAAAGAATCGTGGGTGGTTAAAGCTCCATAGTAAAGTTTGAAAAATTAGTTTTTATTCAGCTAAATTTATAAGACAAAGTGGAAGACACAGATGTATAATTATGCAATATTTATAAAATTTTATGAAAAAATAGAAAACTTTTGTATCATTCTTGATTGTATTTTGTATCATGACTTATTTAAATTTCTTTTCTTTAACTTACTCAGTAGCGTCCTCGACTTACATGCCAGGGGTATTCAGCTCGAATCCCCGACAATAACAGAATTAGAAATAAAAATTGAAATAGAATAAAAGTTGTGGATTTTTAGTCGAATATTAATTGTGTTAGTAAGTTAGTAAGTAGGAAAAAGAAGTTAAGTTTAGAAGATGAGAAGAACATATTGAGAAGGAAAAAGAAAAATGAAAATCAGTTGAAAGAAAATTGAATGAAAAATAGGATATTAAAGGAGATAGTATAGGATATTTGTATAAGAACTGTATATAATATGAAATGTATGTGGATAAAATGGTGTAAGTAAACGAAGGCAAATAAAAATCAAATTTAAAAAAAATCCTTAAAATAATTCTTTGTTAAATAATCAATTACTAGGAACTAAATCCAAACTAAGCTCATACAATAAGCTACTTTTATATAAAACTTTATTCAAACCAATTTAGTGTTATGGTATACAATTGTGTGGCAGTGCTCATAAGACTAATATAGAAATTATACAGAAATTTCAAAACAAATTTTAGAAAATTGCCTTAGGAGCTCCAAAATATGTTCCTAACTGGTTGATTCATGCCGACACGAATACACCTACCATAAATGAAGTAATAACAAAAACAGCACAGAAGTATAGAAACAAGTTAATCAATCACCCAAATACATTATCAAACAAATTGCTAACAGAGAACTATCGAAGAAGATTGAAAAGAAAAGTCAACTATCCTGAAAAAAAAATGGAAATAACTTAATCATTATTTATAAGAAATTATTCAATAAGTAAATATTGTGAATTTTATATCGAAAGGAAAAGAAAACTACTGAGTTATTTTTTCCAACATGCCAATGTAGTATACAATGTCCCTTTTCGGCGGACTATTGTAAATTCATTAAATTTACTGAATGTCCTTTACTGGACAGTTGTAAATAAAAGAGTTAATAAAAAAATAATAATAATAATCAATCTCATTAAATACTTGATATAACAAAATACAATTCAGTGCTCTAAAGTCAGTTCAGCTCTCAAGCGACTTAATAATTATTTTCTTATCAATTAATACTAGAGGAACGAGACTTTTACAATAATTTCCACAGCCATGAATTAAAATATAATATATTATTTTTCCTTTAGATGCGATTCGAACGAGATAAATTGCTCAAACAGATCATTGTCCTCTTCTGTGTGGTATGTCAAATTGGAGGCAACGGTATCCAGGATGAGCGAGAGTGTGGTGGCAGCGCACACGACCGTTGCGCCAGGCTGGCAGGACCTCTGCTGCGGGACCCCAATTTAGTATTCCCAGATAACATAGCTGATGTCAGGCTGGTCTGCAGGTAAAATTGTCAATTAAGAAATCATAAATAGTAGTAGTCTTTCATATAAACTTATTATTCTTTCTTGGCTGTAAAATTGCATATGCGTGTCTTTTATAATAATATTCTTATAATGTATGAAATAAATGAAAATGATCAGCTCAACGTTTGAAATAACATCCTGCGTGTGTGTCATACCAACAAGGTTAAACAAAAAATAAGAGCTTTTGTTCTATAAATCTATTATTCAAAGCTAATGGTATTGCATAGACCAGACACATATATACACAAGTATATATATTTATGTGTATATATATGGGTATTGTGTGTTGGTTTATAATTGTATATTTGTCACGGTAGTGAATAAAGTTAATTTGAAATCTAACGCACTTATGATTATAGAGATGAGCGCAATGACATTAAAATCATTGAAATATTGCAGAAGCGAACTACATATGGTGAATGGGATTCATATTTAGCTCATTTAACTTTTATTCATTTTTAAATTGGGTTTACTGATGAATAGTTTCTTAAAGTATTCTTCTAAAAATTAAATCGCAATCGTGAAATTTAATTTTGATATTTGTAAATAAAAATTCTTTAACTACGTTTAAAATTCCAAAGGTCCAATTTACAATATAGGATGCTTCATAGAGATGCACGGTATTGCTAGTTAGAAGTGCCAGCAATTTTCCTTAAGATTTGTAGCTTAATCTGTTCTATACCATTGCACATTCGTATCTCTTATAATATTGTTATAGTTTATTTTGGTAAAGGCAATAAAATTATCAAAGCAGAATTTTGAAAAAAGCAGGAAAGTACCAGTAAGGTTATTATTATTCAAAAATTAAAACTCAATTCATATTTTTTAAAATCATTCTTAGTCTAATTAATCGTACTTACACAAAACTATAGGTACGATGTTAGATTATGAAGTTATGAGCTCGAAACCAATAAAATAAGGATTAGAATACATACGCAGCCATAAATTTCATACATTGTATTGAAACACAAACAGTAACTTCTTAAGAAATCATAAATCTAAAATCAAAAGGATCTCACAATCCCTAGAATCCGAATGACCTAATGTATCAAAGAAAAAAGTGGCTCATACATTTTCCTCGAACGGAAATTTGAAATAAAATTACCGGTAATAATTAAATATTATAATTAAATAAGGGTTAGAATTTATAGCCATAAATTTCATACATTGTATTGAATCACAAACAGTAAATTCTTAAGAAATCATAAATCTAAAATCAAAAGGATCTCACAATCCTTAGAATCCGAATGACTTAATGTATCAAAGAAAAAAGTGTCTCATACATTTTCCTCGAACGGAAATTCGAAATAAAATTACCAGTAATTTTTTCTTATGAATTAGGTCAGACGTTACATAATAGCTTTCCGGTGTAACCTACTTATTTTGCTTTTGTACGATGTTTACCACTTTTTTAAGAAAAACTTGGGTTCAACTTCTTTGAGCATATATAATATAATTTGCGTAACAAAAAGATTTCATAGAGACGATAAAGCATGTTTTTCAATGATTGTGATTTAATGTTGATTAGATTGAGTCCTTAACACGAACATTTAATTTATAAAATTGTTTAGTAATTGGTTACCTTTGTCGGTTGGCATACTTTTATATATAATTATATTATAATATATTTAAAATCAGAAAAATGCTATCATAAAGCTCATATAATTCTATCTTTAGTTAGTTAAACTAAACAAATCCAATCTTTTTCAAGTTCATGGTTTCGTGTGATTGAATTCAAAGTATGTCATCAAAATATTCTTTTCATTATTCTACGAAATAGACTTCTAAACACTATATTTTGAGTTTTTGTATAAGTCTAGCTTTAGTCAGAAAATATTTCTTTTATTAATTCATGGTAGCTGAAAGTTTAACAAGAGTTGCTTTTTTTAAAAGGCAACCCAATGGTCGTTCTATCTACAGTTGATGCATTTTTTGGTTGTTCTCTTTGTAATTGATGCAATAAGTCGACGATATGAACCAAAAACAAAATTTGTGTTTACATACATACATTTTTCCAGCTTTTGACTCAAACTTTGTGAAAGATTCAGAATGACTTGAGACATGACCTTAGCTAAAAACATAAATTACCCTTTTTTGAAGTCAGTGAAATATGTGAAATATTTATAGTTCTCAGTAGAATACAAAAACATATGTATTTCTTATTGATTTTCTCAGAATGCTTAATTAATAATAGATTTGACCATTTTATCAAATTACCAGAATATTTCGGGACATAAATATATAAGCACGGATCGTGCGAAGGTCAATTTTGATGGCACGTAATAACTACATTATTTCAAAGAGCTATTGTTTAATTTGGAAAATGTGTTTTGTAGAGTTATGGGAAAAACAAATGAAATTTAGTTGAAACTTATTAACTTTGCGGTGCAGAAGTTGCAATTTTTCTTCAGAAAATCCGCTTGCAAGCTTCAAGTCTTTTCAAGTTACTCTGACTCAATAAAAAATCAAGAAATTTTGATAAATATTGCTTATTTAAAATATGTAACTATTCAAAGTCATATATGAAAATAATGATTTTACATTTTCCGTTCCCAATTGAATTTCCAAATTCAATTTGAATACATACATTAATTTGTGGTAGCAAAAATTATGCCATGATATAATATATATTATTGCAAGTTTTTAATATAGAATTTACTTATGCCAAAGAAGAAATTTCTGCATGATGTAATTTGTAGGTTTCTCTGATGCGGTCTGATTATCTTTGTACCATCAATGAAAACAATACAACAGCACATGGACATTACTAATCTTTGTATATATATATATATATATATATATATATATATAAAATCTATTTTTTGAATAATATAAAACTTAATATTAAAACAAATTATATTATAAACGTCTTGTTATAAAATATTGATTACATCACATGAGAATATTAAAATAAGAATCGTATAAGAATATGGTTGGGATTAATTAAATATTCAAAAAACCTAAGTGTCAAGGTCTCATAAAAATATTAATGAATTCGAGGGATAAAATATAATTTGCATGGAAAGAAATCATATTTAGGTTTGACCGATAGTTCAGCATAATTAGGCAATAAAATGTCGCAGAATGTTTGTACAAAGAAAAATTATTGTTCATGTTTCGCTTAATAAACACTCAAAGTAATGCACAAAAAAATTAGTCAAATACATAATATAAATATTCAAAACTAAAGTCAAAATTATCAAATATTTACGGGAAGCTAAATAAATGTATCTATTTTAATTCAAAATATTTTTTTATTATTATGCAACAATATTTCACCGGGATAATTAGTTATATTTTAAGAATGAAAAATGTGCTTTAAAAATACAAAACCTTCTGCCCAATATCAATGATTTTTAAATTAACAGATTTTAATATATTTTGCACTTATTTTTCAATCTGGTCCAAAGTTGGTTTGGATAATCCTCGATGCGGCTTTTGTATTTTTTTGAATGAGTTCGTATTTTCTCGCTTACTATGTTGACGTCTGGGTTTTTATGGGTTATCCAATTTAGAAAATTCTTTAGGCATTTAATTTTTTTAATAATTTCGTATCTTTGAATTTTAAAGATTTGGCAGCTGATCCCCATAATTATGCCGTGTGTCCGTGATAATTTAAAATAATAGTGTTCCAAAATGTTCAGAAACACAGCTTTAGATGTAAATAGTTTCTTATCTAACTTCTTAGATCTGGCTCGGTCAATACATAAGGGTGCTTTATAGGAAAATGTACTTGGTAAGAGTATAAAGTTGCGTTCTCGTTTGACCTCAATAAGTACATCGACTTCAGTCTGGACATGCGATGGAATTCTTAAATAGGCGGCGAAGAATATTTGCTTTAAAATCTTAAGTAACCAGCAATTATCAATCGACCATCACATAAATAAATAATAATAAATAAATAGTAAACATATTGCCAATCAATTTAATAAATTATTCCAATGAAAAAAGGTTTATACAGATGAGTTCTTATTCTCAAAATTAAAAAAAATTAAAAGCAGCAATGAATTAAGATAATATTTAAATCAGCTAATACTTGAATATAATATGTTTTTTAGTACTTGGGATGACTTTGTGGGCTGTCTTCAGAACTATGTGTCGCGGTGCTTCAGTTCGGACGAAAGGTCACAATTCAACAAGGCGGTGCAACAACCCGTCCAGTCTATTCATAGGATGTGTTCAGATCCTGCTTATCAAGAAGGTAATATCCAATCAATTACTAGATGTGACATAATTAGATGTGAAAGGCTTAGTTAATTATTCTTATTCAAAGCTTGGCCATTAGTGGTTAGAGCTTTAGAGCTAAGTTAGAATCTGGAGGTCCAGGTTTGATACTTGTCTTGGGTAGTCTTGCATGAAAATATGTACACCCATATTCCTAAATATGCTCACATATACATCGTGCAAACACACATACACATATCCAGGGGCGAATTAAACTCTCTGCCGCCCTAGGCTCTATCTGATCAGCCGCTCTTTATTAGACAGAATTTCACTTTTTAAATTAAACAAATATTAACTTCCCGTTGGGTAGTTATTAGAGTAATGGGCTCGAAAATCGAAAATGAAAATTTTTGCATTTCTCCACGTTTAGAAGGTTTCTGAACATTTTGGCATATCTCAGAAAAAATGGATGGATGTGTGTGTGTGTATTTTGTGTATCCGCATTTTTTCATTCACGGTTTCGGGCGCACGGATTAACCGATTTGAATGGTTAAAAAAATCGATTCCTATTGATAGGGAAAAGTGCTGATTAGTTTTTGGCAAAAGCAAGTCCAGCTCTTACGAAGATACAGAGCAAAGAGTGCACAAAATAGAAATCGAGTTTTTGAGATATCCGATTTAAATGATCCAAAACACATTAGTTTTTGGCAAAGGCAGGTCCAGGCATTTCGAAGATACAGAGCAAAATGTAGAAAAATTTACAGTTTTTGAGAGAACTAAGCATACAATTTGAATTATTCAAAAAACTTTCTGCTCGTTTCGACAAAATCATTGCTTATGGAAACAGAATTTTAATTCTGAATAAAGTTCTAAAGCTCACTTATATACTTTAAATAAATAATTTTAATCTTGTAATTCAATTTATATAATTCTTAAGAATATTAGATAATGTTACTTAATTAATAAGATAATTCTTGTGGTAATTAGAGAATTTGCCTTAAGGCATGATGCCATACACCGCTAGTTTTTATTTTACATTACTTAGATTATTATATTATAATTGTTAGACAATGTAAATAAATATTCGATACATAGTAACAATATAAATACACTCAAGTGGAAATTTACTATCTCACAAATAGAAACTAGGAAAATGAAAATTTTGCGCTTTTCTCAAAAAATGGTTCGGCTGATCGTCGCGCCCTTTTCGAATTTTATTAAATGGCTTTTGAATTTATTTTTGTCGAGAAAACGTCGACGACAGGTAAAATCACACACATACTTTTTCAATTTTGATCTTGAATGACATACCCATATACGCACATATATGCAAAACCAGAAACACTTTCAAAATATTGTTAAAAATTACTTAATAAATAATCCCTATTATTTTATAAATTTTATGAATTTTAATAAAGTTCTATTCTATTCTATTCTCCTACACACTAAAAGAAGTTTTCAATATTTTTAGCAATACCATGGCATTGAACAGCTCAGAAGAAAACGGCTCTTTTTTTATATTCTTTAGTAATACTATAATATGTACAATTACTAGTAGGCTTAATTAAATATTTTCACAACAGGACTACATCTATAAGCTAAACATATCCAACATCGAATCGGATCACCAATGGGTGACCTTTCGACCGTTTTCCTTTATTTAATAAACCATCAAAATTACTGAGTGTTGTATAAGAACGACAGATTGTAATTCACAAATGTAAATTTAAACTAGCTGTAAGTGGAATTCTGTCTTGAGGCAATTATGGCATCGTGCCTTGAGGCAAATTGCTGGAACTTCCCGCACCGTAACGAAATGTTCGAGGAATATTGAATGTTTTCAAATATATTATTATAAATATTGTAACATTGTCTAATATTTATAAGAATTATATAAACCGAATTGCAGAGTTGAAATTATTTCTAAAGTATATTAGAACTATAGTCAGAATTAAAAATAAAATCTGAAATATTTTCGATATACAAAATACTAAAAAAAAAAAAAAAAAAAAAAAAAAAAAAAAAAAAAAAAAAACAATTATTTTGTTAAGACAAGCAGAAAGTTCTTTGAATCATTTAAATCGGACGCTTAGTTCTCTCAAAAACTGCCATTTTTTACATAATTAGCTCCGTATCTTCGAAATGGCTGGGCCTGCCTTTGCCAAAAACTGATAAACACTTCTCCCAATCATTACTAATTGAATGTTTTTTAGATCATTCAAATCGGATACTCCGTTCGCTCAAAAATTCGATTTCTATTTTCTGCACTCTTTGCTCCGTATCTCCGAAACGGCTGGACCTGCCTTTGCCAAAAACTAATAAGCTCTTTTCCCATCAATAGGAATCGAATGTTTTTTGAACCATTCAAATCGGTTGATCCGTGCGCCCTAAAACGTGACTGGAAATTTGTATCCACACATACATACACACACACACACACACACACACACACACACACACACACATCCATTTTTTCTGAGGTATGCCAAAACGTTCAGAAACCTTCAAAACGTCGAGAAATGTAAAAATTTTCAATTCCGATTTTCGGCCCATTACAATAACTTACCCTACGGGAAGTTAAAAAAATTAGCAATATAGTTACGCAAGTATTTTTCGAGCAATTAAAAAAGTTTAAGATCGTTGACTACAATGATCGCCTTCTTCATTGGGATGTTAGATATGCGTCTTATGAAAAAGATAACAGTTGTTTGCAGTTCAGTCGTTCGCTTTAATTAAAATAATATTTAATAACAGTTTGTCATTATAATATATGTCCTAATTCTTAAGCGATATTTTCAATTACCACTTTTCTTTTTACCTTAGAATACCTTACCCACGCGCCATGCATCAAACAAGCGGTAACGGACGCCCGTCATTGCGGCGGCGCTTACCGGCAACTGGCGGAAATGGTGGTGACGGGCGACGACTACCTCACCGGAGGCGACCAGAGCGGTAACAATGGCGGTCGCGCTGGCCTTTGCTGGTGAGTAATCCATGAATAATAACAGCGGCTAGTATAGTATGTAATTAAATAAGAGTAATTAGAATGGGAAGTGTCATACAAGGTAAAGATGAAAAGAACTAACATATATGTTTGATTAACAATCGCTATCAATACGTTTGGAAGATGACCTAGAGTACGCCATGAGTGGTATTATTGCTGTTGCATTTGTAGAAAACGTACTTTGTCTGAGTTTAGTGTGTTTTACAAATATACTATAACAAATTATTCCTTATATTAAACGATACTGTGGCGGACATAGCTCATAGGCCCGACTCACATGCCAGAGATCTTTGGTTCGATTCCAGGCACTTCCTAATAAAATAATGAATTGTAATAACGAATTTGTATATGATAATATGGAATTGTAATTGAATATGTTAGAATGTATGAAAAAAAAAACAGGATCAAGCTAAGAAATTCCGTCATAATTAGAAGAAGACGCAATAGCATTAGTAGAAAAATGAAGAAGATGGATTTAGAAGAAAGAAGAATGAGTAAAAATTAAGATAATGTAAAAACGAATTAATAGAAGAAGTATTTGAAGTAAATAATGTTTTGAGTCAGAATTTAAAAAGTTGAGTTAAAATTAATTAGAAGTAAGTAATAATAATGTTGAATAAATAAAGAAATGCTGTAGGTGGCTAAATGCTCCATGTAAGCGAGGCCAATAAAAATTTTATAAAAAAAAAAAATTAAACGGTACTTACGAGTATATACTGATATGTATATGAAAAGTTTGTTTGTTCGGTTATGAAACATATTCTTGAATTGTTAGCAGCTAATAAATTAGTTAGCAGCTTATACAATAAAAATAAATAATAAAAGAATTGTATAATTATTCACGTTTTGGGTTCGATCGTACATAAGCGACTAGAGCGATTGGATCTAAATCAGAGGTTTGAGCAGCCTGATGTCAAGCAGTAGTGATATCGGTTTTCAATTGGAAGTATAGATAGCTATATGTTTCCAAGTGAAAATAGCCCACATCCGGCATTGCTGCATCATTAATCATTTGCCCTCTCAAAGAAAAATATATTAATAAAATTTATCACACAAAGTAATTTTCTTTCAATTGCAAAATAATTTTTTCAAATAATTTTTCATCAAGGGGTTGTTTTTAAGGGAATAAAAAGGGTTAAAAATTTGATAATCAAGATATAGAATATAAAATATTATTCACTTTATACGTAAAATTCTTATTATATCATATTTATAAAACATAAAATTTTAGTTACTTTATACGCAAAATTCTTATTATATGATGCCGAAATTTATCTTTGAGTGTTTTTTTCAATTTAGAGGTTGTTTGAAGGGTTTTAGAATTTTCACAGGGTTGAAAATGATTTTATTGCAAAGTAAATATATTATAAAATACTTTACAATTATATTCTTCAATATTAAAAACGTTTTCTAGCAATAAAATGTCTCAATGTCCATTCATTCATTAAGAGTACGCAACCCTTCTGGGAGGCGGTGACGGAGTACAAATTGTTTTCAGGGTAAGATGAACCTATTTCCAAAATTTCATGCAAATCGGAGCACAGTAAAAAAAACTCAGACCCAAAACGCTCCATTGACTCGAGTATATAGGGCTTTAAGTTCTGATTGTTGTTCAAACAATAAAAAAAATATATTTTGATAAAGCAGGCTATTATTATAACTGCTATAATTCATCAAACTCTTTATGTTAAAGTTAATTCTGGGCGGAATTCGATTAATTTAATTTTTGGGGGAAATTGACATATAATATATGAAACTCATAAATTTATAAGAAAGAAATATTAACTTTTTTTTTATTTTCAGTGCCTATGAATCATTTTCTCGATGTGTAGTTTCTGTTTCCCGAATGAGATGCGATCTGGATGACAGGGCAAGAACAGGCGAACACTCAGCTAGCAAATTGGCCAGACAAGTTTTAGACAAAGCCTTAGGATTTTTGGGAGAACAATGTCATAACTATATGTAAGAACAAACCTGAAATTATAATGAAAAAAATACATATATTATAAGTTTGTTTGAAAGATATCATCAATGGAAATCTCATTGATTACTTTTTAGAGAAAGCGAGAAAGTTGAAAATTTTATTAAAATATTTCTAAGTCTATTTTATTGATTAAGTCGATCATTATTATATTTAATACCATTTATTAATTCTTTTATATTGTTCTTTCTACAACAGACCGAATTCTGGAGATTGCGCCATGGCCAATGTGTTGAGAACCACTTCAATGGAAGATTCTGATGGTTCTCAAACCATTGCAATTCCTGCTTCGTACAACTCTCCTCAAAGCAGAACAACTGCTTGGGAAGCAGGTAAAAATGCAAATACATTAATAGCTAATTATGTTTATTTTCTTTTTCTTTAAATACTGTTGTGTGATAAATCTGCATAAATATAAAGAAGAGTATTTCTATGAAATTAACATAATATACAGCATGTAGAAATGCAGATTCAAAAATAATTAATATGATAATATTTCAGAGAAGAATAACTCTGAGAAAATCTTATTATTCAAATCGATCTTACACTGCATTTTAATCCATATTTTAAAATATTTAATGAATAGAAATGATAATAAATAATATCATTAAAAGTAAATAAAAATTTGCCATCTACATCGTGCACAATCACTAGACTTTCATAAATTTTCTATATTAATTCTTTTCATTATTAATTTTCTTCTATTCTTTTATATAAATTATGAACTTATATACTTATATATTTATATACATTATTATAAATAATATACATATCGATTTTTTTCTAGAAAGAGCACCTTCAGCAGCGCCGTCTTGGGGCCCACCTGTTCAAGCTTCAATACCTCCGTCTTGGATGAATAACAATCCGAATAATCCAAACCCAAATGAACCAGAAAACAATGAAGGAGGATTGTATTCACATAGTAAGACGCTTTCTAAATCTATCATAGTTGCCACTAAAAGAGCATCTGATAATAAATCATTAGTCATTACTATTTCTCCAATGATTTTTTAAATATTTTGTAGTTTATTACTTAAGTTATTAAAAATACAATGTTATTTTTGCTATAGGGAGCTCAAGACCACTGAATTATGGTAGAGGAATGACATGGACACCATCAACAAATGTGGAATCAGCAAATCCCAAATCTGTTGATAATTTTAATGGCAATAGTGTAGTAATGCAAACGTCATCAGAAATACCTTATTGGGCTACAGCTAATTCGAGATCCTGGTCGAATAATGGTAAATAATAGTACCTAAAAATATAATAAAATTTGAGAGTTTTTTGTAATATTAAAATAGCCGTTTCTAAATGCATGCAAATGAATAAGCATAGGGTGCGGCACCTTGGGTGCATATACTAAATTAACTTTTTTTTAAATTTGTCTGTTTGTTTTTTTTTCGGTTAATCTCCGAAGCAACTGTATACTAATTTTGGGCGTAACTTAGGTTACTTTCATGTTAGAAGTTTTACCTATTTTATCTTGTCTCATCTAACAGTAACCGCGGTTTCGTGTGTATAGAGTCGTATAAAAAATGTCTGCAGTATAAAATATACAAGAATTATTTTTGTATATGTATTTTATAAGGGATATCTTAAATTTTATCTTGATTCAAAATATTTTGATACATTTTTGCAACAAAAGCTACAGAAAAGTGCTCATATAGAACGCGTAGTTCTGATTTCTGAACCCTGTCTGATATGTATTTAATTATCATATTATATATTATACTATAATAAAATTTCGTTATAGAACAATCATCTACCGAAACCTGGTATCCAATGGTGGGTGGTGTAGCCCCAGAGAAACAAGGACTCAGGGGTGGTAATTCATATGCACCAACTTATGAAGGAGGAAATTTTGCTGCCTTATTTAAAGCTAGTTGCATATCAATCTTCTTAAGTAGTTTTGTAATATTACTCCTATAAGATAATCGTTCAAGAAAAAAAATATCCAAAAAAAAAAATCGGAAAAATCCCGAACTAAGCATATCGAAAATAGATAATTATTGATGTGGCAGTGTAAAATAGTGAGCAATGAACTATGGGTATAAGTGTTTACTTTAATTACTAACTATCTCTTTTGAAAATTACGAGATAGTAATTATTAATTAAATACATTTGAAAACAAATAGTAACAATTAAATAAAATGCTAATTGCCCTTCGCTAATTTTTAAATCGAATTGTACTGTTATTGCGTGCTCATCATAAAACTGTTACTAATTTCGTTTTTTTAAATTGTCTTAATTAGATTAATCTTTATAATTAAGCCTATACTTGATTTTACATGATTTGATCGATCATGAATTAAAAAAGAGGCAAAATTTTGCTGAACCACCTGCCTAACTAATAGTTGTCCTGTTATAGCAAAATCATCAAATTTATGAAAGCATATTTTGTATATTTTTGTTAGTAACTCAGCTGTATCCAAACCCCTCGGAGGGGCGCCAGGCCGTTCTAAGGGGGCGCTTACGCCTGTTTCCAGAATACTATTTTAGAAAATAACCCAAAATTTTTGAAATGATTTAAAAAATTGAAAAATAATAAGTTTTTATGCAATATTTTTACATAATTGCATATTAATTTGTAATCTGATAATATCAGTTGAGTATTTATAAAATTAAATTGTTGAAAAAATTAAGGAGGGCACAACAACTTTTTTTATTAGAGCAGGGGGGCGCGGTGCAAAAAAGGTTGGGAACCAGTGTATTAACTACATGTTTATGACGCAGGTGTCTGACCTGCAATTAGCTTAATTTTATATTCGTACAACACTATTAAAATTTTTAAAATCGGGCAATTCCGACATACATAAAAGGTCGATGCAGGTGCAATAGATCTTTGGTTATTCTTTACATACAATGTGGTCTCATTCATTGTTATCAGTTATTTCAGTTATTTTCATTGTGTAATTATTTGTGTAATTGATCGGTTAATTTCCTTTATTCAGTGTGTTCAAAACTGTTCAATTTCCCAACCCGACCACGCTGATATTTCCAGACCACGTGTAGATGTCGTCTTGGACTTCCATGCAGATAACTTTTCTTTTCTTTATTAATATGATTTTAGCATTTAGAATTTATTTTGTTTTATTTATGTGTTACTTCATTCATTTTGTGTTTGAGAAGCACTATTATTTTCGAATTATTCATTCAATTCTTTAGTTTTTCTGAATATATTTAAATTTTCTATTCTTAAAGAATAAAATACCGAGGGGTTTGAGAAAACCCCAAACTCGTCGTCATCTTTTCTAAAGATGTTTATAAAAACGTCCATTTTCCATTAAATACGAAAACATTACAATATTTTATGTAAAAGAATGTGAAAGATCGAGATTGGTTTAATAGCATACCAATAAATTTTGAAGTTATATCAAAACACATGATCTATCGAGCTGTTATATGGATTTAAATATATATTTATAACTCAAACTACTGGAATTAAGTAATTATTAAAAAATAATTTACAACCAAATAAAATGTAAACTACCACGACACCGCTTAATAGTACTTGAAACCATAAACAATAGAATATTATATAGGAATAAATGTATAGAATTACTATAATTACCATTAGTTTTATATGTATAGAAATAAATAAATAATAAGCACCAAACGTATAAACTTTTAGATCTCACTAAGCAGTAAAAAATATTTGGAGACACATATTTTATAAATGTAGATCTCACTAAGCAGTAAAATAATATTTGGAGAACCATATTTTATAAATGTAAATCCATAAGTGTATATTAATAATCAATCATATTGCCTTATTGAAAACCGTCCTCACACAATAATCTTCCGCTTTTATAAATGTTCAATAGATACTTGTAAAATATTGGATATAATTTAGAATAGATACTTAATAATAAACAATATGTTAATATATAAATTCTTAGCTTTATTAATTTTGAATTAGTTTGAGATTTATCATTTTTTCAGTCATCAAATGTTTAAATGCGCAAATTTTACTACAAAAATTACAAATATTTGCAATAAACTTATCAGCTCAATGCATAATATTGTTGATCATTAAATTATGAAAACAAAAAGAAATATTTTCTTAATTCTATAAGGTTTCTGCTAACTAGATCAGAGATTTTATAGTAAAAATAGTTTTCAATTATTTCTTGCAACTAGAATTATTTATTATGCTATCAAAGTCTTTTCAATAGTATAAAATTTCATAACAAAAATAACATATTTTTTTATCAATATACATACACACAATATTTCTCTTAATAAAAAAACATCTTATGCTGACAGTCTTCACAATGGATCACAAGCTACAAATTTTTGCACTAATTATCAAAGTTTTGTTTATTATGTTGAACATCCACCTATTCTTTCAGAAAATGACTTCAAAGACCACAAATCTTTGTAATTAAAATTTAATTTTAACTACGCTTAATGAAATTAAATGAAACAAATTTCTTTCTAAAACTAACATATGATATCTGATAGATATGTCTTTCACCCTCATGCAAAAATATATTCATAGCTCAATAAAAAAGGTAACACCAAATTTCTTTTCTTTATAAGATTAACTATTGGCAACTCTTTAATATTTCACTCCTTCTAAATTTGTTAGTTTCTTTAAATCAATCACGGCAGCTTCTGTGGTAAAAGCTTGAGCAGAAATAATATGCTGGATATTATTTATACTTATTACTTATCCAGATCTTTAAATGTCCAGTATATGATTTATCTAAAAAAAGACAACCAGTTAGAATATCCCTTAACATGACATACTAAAAGGCTATAAATCTAAGTTACCTTCTTAGATGTTTTTTTGTGTTTCATTTCATATTTCAACTGCCTTGTACAAATGTTCATACAAGCATTTCACACACTTCCCCAAGGTTAAGCATTCTTCATAACGAAACTTCTCAATATTTTAACCAAATTCATTATCGCCAATCTTGCGGGTAAATTACTTGTTATTCTGGGGTCCATTGGAAGATGTGCAAAGAAAGCTTCCAGAATCTCTAAAACAATAATTATGTATATAAATAAATACAATCTTGATTTCAAAAATATTTATCACTTCCAAGAACTTCTGAAGTGGTAAATCGATACATCCCTAACTAGTTAAGTTTTAATAATGCATGAGATTGAGATTTTACTACATAAATTTATTTTATAAATAAATACTAAATACCTCAAACTATAATCTGCTCTATAATCAATGAACCATTGTACACAGCCATTTTTATAACTCTTAATAATCATGCCACAATTAAGTGGAATGAAGGACAATCTAATTGTTTTGAATAACCGATGCATCAAATCCATTTTTTAACATGCTAAAACAACAGAACAAACAAATATTAAACTGAAAGTAATATAAGCAAAATGTATAAATATATAAAAGTAACCTTTTGAGCCTGTTCTGTTCCAATAAATTTTTGCACCCCAGAACTGGCGCTTTCCATGGTTTAAATGAGGAAGCTATCGGTTTTATAAATAAACTAAAGGTATCTAAAATTAGAAGTAATTAAAACTAAAATAATTTAAGAAATGAAAATATAAACACTTTCTTGTCATTTTGCGTTTTTGGACGCCATTGAATACAAACATGTTGAGCTCGGGAGTAGTGACTTGCCATCTTGCCAATCGTAAAAGTCGATCGTGCAAAGTAAAATAGATGGCCAAGAAACAAGAGAAATAATATTATAGTCTCATTATTAACTTCCAGTCGGGCAAGTTGTAGTAATCGCAAAAAAATCGAAAATGAAAATTTTAATATATTTTTACGTTTCAAAGGTTTCTGAACATTTTGGCATACATTAGAAAAAATGGATGATGTGTTGATGAATTTTCGTCGACGATTTCAGGAACACGAATCAACCGATTAAAAAAACATTCGATGCGTATTGATAAGGAGAAATGCTGATTAGTTTTTGGCAAAGGCAGGTCTAGCTATTCCGAAGATACGGGGCAGAAAGTGCCAAAAACGGTAACTCAGTTTTAAAAAAAACGGAGCGTCCGATTTTAATAATTCAAAAAACATTTCACTTCTATTGACAAGCTAAAAACTGATTAAATTTTTGGGAAGGCAGGTCTAGCAGTTATGGACTCTCGATAAAAATAAGTTAAAAAAATGTCATTTGGCAGTGAAAAATGTTTATTGGACATATGTACATCAAATTATCAGATATTTTATATAGTGTACACAGTTAGTGTAAATTTTTTTGGTTTCCGTACCAAGATTTTTAATTACGGTACCGGAAGTTCCAGCAATTTAAGGCACGATGCCATGCACCCCATTAGTTTATTACTTTAATTTCGACCACCCAACACTTCCAAGATCTGCTCATACTCCAACTATCACATCTATCTTTCTCTATAAAAATTCTAATCTCTATAAAATTCGCAGCATTTCATTTCAGGAAAAACACTTGTCGCATTATATGATAGTAAATTATCTGGAACCGGCCGGTATTCAAGGAAGGCAAAAATATAAATAACAATAAACGTTCTCTTTTCGTAATGTGTGTACATGTGTACAAACTCAAACAGATTTGCAACACAATGGCTATTTGTTTTGCTTTTATCGGTCAATGAGCGAAAACCGTGCAAAACCGGTTCAAACCGATTTTGATACGAGGAAACGCGTACGCACCCACGGATATTGTATTTATAGATCCGGATAAAGACAGATAATGTTATTAATTATGGCTTTTATCAATTCGATGGGCGGGATGCGACGATTATTAATCAGAAATTGATTTTTGTTGAAAAAAATTTATATATAAAAATAAAATTGGATACAATTTATACTGATGAGATATTACACTGAGAATTTGGACTTTTAAATCATTTTGATTTTTGATACATATTCTTTTTAATTTTGTTTTCAAATAATCGGCTTACATACAAATACACATAATTATCTTTTATTTCTTTGCATTCATTTTCAAACATTGTCTCAAGCGATTCAGATTGGCTTCGAGAAAACATCGAGAAAAGATAAAATTAGAATGTCGTTTTTTTTTTCAGAAACATAAACTTTTTTGAAAAGTTAGAAATGATCTTTATATTAATAGCTCATTGTTACGTATTTGTGAAAAATTGCATCATAGTGTTTGGCACCGAAGCAACAATTTTAAGGCATGTGTAACTCAATGATGAAATGTAATTACGCAAATATCATTATCTAATTGCAAAATATTTAATATGAGTATTGAAAACATTCCATGTATAATATATATTTGTCTGCTATTATAGGTTAAAATAAAAATATATTTGAATTTCTGAAGTTTAAATACTTTTAATAATAATTATTCAGTTATATGCTTCAAAGTATTTTCATGGCGTAATTACTCTACTAATTTTCTATTTATATCAATTGTTTAAAATCAATTCAGATAATAAATGGATAATAAGATATCAAAACTGACCATGCATAATGTTTACTTGTGCAATTATTTGTGAAAATTCAAGAAAATCGTTAGTGGTATTTGCGCAAAACTTGCAACCAAATTTTTGCGATTTTTCTAGTTCATGATTTAAACGCATGTGGCAGCACATGTAGCGTTTTTAAGATATCCGTTACTATGAAAGTGCAAAATATAATTAAAAACAACCTATATAATCTAATATACCCAAGATAACTTATATTAAAATATAAATATATACTAAAACCCCAAAAAAATAATATATTAATCATCACAGGATAATACGTTTCTAGGTTGTGTTCCTTATGTTTTAACTTCACACTCAGATTTGCACAAATAATCGTATGGTGTAAAGTATAAAAAACTTCATGACTCGAAACAGTAAGTATATAATATAGGCCAATTCTCGGATAAAATAGTTAATTTATGTTATCTGTATATCGTGGTAAAATAATATGTAGAACTATTTTATTTTGATAAGCTTTTTTTTTAATGTTGGCCTTCATGAGTTGACAATCTCGAACTGTCAAAAGTTATGTCTATGGCGTTTATTTGAGCGCTCAACTGCTAAAACATATTCTTCAAAGGGCACAAATGTCCAAAAAACATTAGTTTTATTTTTCGTGTTTGTTATTTATAAGTGCATCATCAAAGTATCTCTTATTTTGAACTGTTTAATGTTATCGACATGCTGCTATATAACATAAAATATGTTATTAATAATTGTCCATGCAGTTATTATACCATTTTGAACAATTATATATAAGGATCAGGTAAGTGTTTTATATTAGTTTTTTTAGCTCTGGAATTGTTTATTTATTGCTTCCTTAGTTTTAACTATTTTAATTATTTTCCAATTAATGGATGCAATAGTTCAATGTTCAAATATTCGTTTAATTGTTTTCTGGTAAAGTTAGTCACCGTTACGGGAACCAAACCCAATAAATTCTATTTATAACTTTAAAGCGTAAGGTCAATTTGCTCTGCGAAAATAGGTTCCTAATCAAGCATTCTATTCAAGTAAATGATTTTTCTATTTTTATACGAAGGTAAAACTATATTACGAACAAAAAAAACATGTTTACGTCGAAGTGACTAGAGACTACGACAACATTATTTGACTTATCGTGAATTTAGTGATATTACTTGCACGACGCATATATAGTATATTCATGTGAAAATAATATCCATTAATGCTCTTATATTATGCGCATATTTTAAAACTATTTTTTATAAACAAAAACAAACACGCACATGATAATGTAAAGAAATACATGCATATCATCGTATTATTATGCAAAGGGTTTTGACACTTTCTCTCAGCTACTAAATTTTTGTTTGGTTTTTATAATATGTTCATTAGCAAAGTTTATGAATTATTTTCGTGAAAGAGATAATAGAAAACTTTAAATTAAGACACATACTTTAACATATTGTGCTATTTATTGAAAATGCTATATATTCTTATCCAATTTCAGAAAACCACAATACATAAATAAAATAAATGTTCAGAAAACAGATAAATATTGGAAAAGTGCAAACACAATTTGTACTTATATTGAATTTTGATATAATATATTTCATATTTTCTGGAAAATACATTTTGGTATAACGTTTTTGGTAACTAGTTGTATGAACTACTATATAAATAATTACTAACAATTAAAATTTGCAACTTAAACGGTGGAAATTCAACCCTTTATTCCAAAAATAAAGATTTTGCTTCTTAAAAACCAATCAATACTATTTCCAAGTGATAAAAATTAGTGTGTAAAAATAAAAATATATTATTAGATAGATATACGTGGAAAATATATATATATATATCCCTATGACAGGTGTATTTGATATTTATCAGATATGAGTTCAATTATATTCTATAACCCTGAATATCAATTATTAAACAGCAATGGTACAAATGGATTTGAAACCTTTCAGGTCGATTTATATATAGAACTTTCTAATACGGTTATAACTTATAATAATGTAAAATAAACATAAAATTATGTTTCAATATTATGGTCAATATAATTATGGTTAGCTTTGGACTTTATTATTTTAATATTTTTGAACAAATTTGATCCAGAAACGAAACGAAATCAAATCAATATGTGCTTGAAATAATAGAATTGAATAATAATAATAAATTTAACAAATTTAATCTCACATTTTTTGAGAGGTAATATATAAGTAATAACAACTACTATTATTATGACTAATAATTTTGATTTAAATTTGTCCTCATTTTTCGCAATATAATCCGATTTTGTTCATTTTGATTCCTCTGCTTTTCAAATCGTTCTGAATTGAATGAGACCAAATTTGGAAAAAGTATGTGTGTATGTATGTGAACCGATTTTTTATTATGATTTATTTAAATATAGCCTTCCCAAGATATTCATTTTCCACTAAAAAGTTTTAAAACCCTAGAAAGGGGGAAACTTAATCAAACCTACATATGAAACTTTGTGCATACGAAAACGTAAGTGTAAACTTCTTGGCAAAATGATTAATTAATCATTAATTATTAATGTGATGTGCATGCTGTGTGTATATTCCAATATATGTATATAAGAATCAGTTATAGATAACAATGATTTATTTCTTTGTCTATGATAAGAATCATTCACGTTTTGGATAAACGGCCAAACCCATGTCAATAATTAAAAAACAACTTTTGGTTTGTATTTACAATGGCGGAGCTTTGGTTCTTGTTATAATACGTAGAGTATTAAAGTTTTTTTCATATTATGACAGCAATCAGAACTTTACGTCTTATGAACACTGTTGGGCTGAAACTTCTTCTGACTTCGTATTTTTAGATGATAACCCAATGGTTAATCTATCCATATTTGATGGTTTTATTATTAGATTTAATCCAATAGGGGTAACTTTTAAGTGGTGCCGCAATGCCGGTCAAGGGCTATTTTCATTTGGAAACATGTTGCTATCTATATTTCTAAGTGAAAACCGTTGTCACTGCTGCATGACACCAGAAGTTGGTCCCGAACCCGAGATCTCTAAATCAAGTCTCGTCGCTCTTAACCCACGGGCGAGTCTTGAGTAATAAAGATGCTTTGAAATCTTTTCA